GTAGGACAACAGCCTACCTTGCCCTAGGTGTAGGACCGTCCTTTGGTGGCATTGTACTGGACTATATCAATTAAATGGTTATAGTTTTAATCGTTTTGGTGTGCCGGAAATGATCTTATTAAAATGGACAACCGTTCTACATATTGTATCTTACAAAGATGGATGAGACTAATAAGAACTGTCTTGAACTCAACTGTAATCCAATTTAATCTGAACTACCAAACGAAATATAATAGTTTTCCATTGAGAATGAGCTTAAATTCATGGGAAATACTAGCTCTAACCTTATCCCTTCTTCTCATGACAAATGTCACTTTTTTACACTTAAAACAATGTCATTAATGCATCACACAAACTAGTTTTTTTCTTCTTCCAAGTTTACCATTATTAAATGTATTAATTTTTTAAAATAACAAGCTAATTTTTTTACAACTTTCTCACCACCTTGTTAAAAAATTAAATAAACAAATAAAATTTGAATTTTGTTTTTATAAAATGTTTTTTTTTTTCTAGAGAGCGTATGTTTTGTTAAACACAAAAGAAAGATGATATCACTTTCATGAAAAAGAAAAAAAAAAATAGTTGTCTAATATAATATGGCTTTACGCACAGAGGTACATTCATTGCAGATTGCATTACGAATTCATGGCTTCGTCAGAGCATCAAGTAATATCTAATGTTTATTACGAATTAGTCCAACGGCCAATGCACATTGCATTGAATTCATGGCTCTCCAGACTCCTCCAGTGTTGCATCACATTCTTATGCATGCAATGCAATCAGCGGCACTTTGATAGGATCCGCCTTGTGGTGGTTTTATTTTAGTTTGCACCTAGATCATCACGCCAATCTAAAATATTATCACCTTCGGTTTTGATCATTATCCGAACTATAATATAATATCATGTTTGATTTAGATCTTAAACTAGTGGCATAAACAATAATTAAGCAAACATTTTACCAATGAATATGGACTTCTTCTCATGACAAATGTCACTTTTTTACACTTAAAACAATGTCATTAATGCATCACACAAACTAGTTTTTTTCTTCTTCAAAGTTTACCATTATTAAATGTATTAATTTTTTAAAATAACAAGCTAATTTTTTTACAACTTTCTCACCACCTTGTTAAAAAATTAAATAAACAAATAAAATTTGAATTTTGTTTTTATAAAATGTTTTTTTTTTTCTAGAGAGCGTATGTTTTGTTAAACACAAAAGAAAGATGATATCACTTTCATGAAAAAGAAAAAAAAAAATAGTTGTCTAATATAATATGGCTTTACGCACAGAGGTACATTCATTGCAGATTGCATTACGAATTCATGGCTTCGTCAGAGCATCAATTAATATCTAATGTTTATTACGAATTAGTCCAACGGCCAATGCACATTGCATTGAATTCATGGCTCTCCAGACTCCTCCAGTGTTGCATCACATTCTTATGCATGCAATGCAATCAGCGGCACTTTGATAGGATCCGCCTTGTGGTGGTTTTACTTTAGTTTGCACCTAGAACATCACGCCAATCTAAAATATTATCACCTTCGGTTTTGATCATTATCCGAACTATAATATAATATCATGTTTGATTTAGATCTTAAACTAGTGGCATAAACAATAATTACGCAAACATTTTACCAATGAATATGGAGAAATTTTAAAATAAAAAGGGGGTGCATTATGCAATGAAACAAAACATGAGATACAGAAAATGTTAAGTGTTAAAAAACAAAGATTAATATAGGTAGTTTGATTTGGTTTATGTAGTTTTCATGAATAATTGCTATTTGGTTCCAGGGACGAATCTAGCTATTGGGCTGTATGGGCTATAGCCCATGCCAATTTTATTTTCTTAAAATTTCAATACCTATGTTCTCTCTCTCTTCTTTTCCTCCTTTCTTTCTTCTTCTTTCTATTTCTTTTAATTTTTCGCCTTTCTCTTGTTTTTTGTCTTTGTTTCTCCATTTTTTTATGATTTAGATCTACTACAAATTGAGCTTTTCCCCACAGTTTCTTCTTCCTATTTCTTTTTATTTTTGGTTGCTTTTCTCTTGTTTTTTTCCCGTCATTTCTCCTTTGTTTTTTTTCTTTTGCATTTCTCTTTTTTCTCTCACACGTGTTGTAAAGTCCGGCTTGGTGTGATATGGCCCTCACTACTGAAATTTCCTGCATACATAAGATAAATTTAGCCCATGGAGTTTTGAAATCCTGGATTCATCCCTGACCGCAGAACATCCCAACTGTCAAAAGAAGCCTTCTATGAGCAAAATCATAGTCCTTAGACACCCACACAAACTGTAAGGCATACCATAGCAGAAACCAAGAGAGAACACGGAGGAGGAACACAAAGGGGGGTGTATTCAATTAAGATTTTAACATATTGTAATTACATGATTTTAATGTAATGGATTTCAACCGGATTTGTAATTATATGATTTTGCTTATGATTTTAATAGATTGCAATTACATGATTTTACTTATGATTTTAATAGATTACAATTACAGGATTTTATTTCTATGGGAGTATTTTTGCTCACCACATTAACCAATAAAATCTCATAAACCTTTCTGCCCATTTTGCAACATAATATTTATAATATTATAAAAATGTTATTAATTGACAAAAACAATACACCCATTGAAGACAAAACTTGTTAAACCGAAACCAAAACTGAATTCATAGAAAATATTTCAAAATAACTCAATAAGTGACAATAAAATGTTCTAATGACATTGAAGTAATTTTATATAGCAATTAAAATATTAAAGTTGTAGATATAAGATGATGTTGTAAGGCTAACGGATGAAAGAAACTAGAACCAAAATAAATCAGTTTTTTGATTCCATACCTAATATGATATTTAACGGTCCATGCCATTACACATAATTTGAACGTAGTAGCGCTTTGTTCAATAGATAAAGACCTTCGTTTTACTTGGATCTTCCCATTTGAATAACCAACGGAAGAGCTTTTACAAAATTGGTTTGCAACTTTCATCATCTAAAATTGGTGGTTGTTTACTAAACACTGAGGGAGAGAGGAGAGTGCGAAGGAGAAAGAGGGGTCAGGGGAGGAAGGAGGAAAGAAAGAAAAAATTAGAAGAAAAAAAA